ACAGGTCGCAGTCGCAGTCGCAGTAGTAGTAGTAGTAGTAGTAGTAGTAGTAGTAGCAGTGGTAGTAGTAGTAGTAGTAGTAGTAGTAGAAGCAGCAGTAGTACTAAAACAGTAGTAGTAGTAGAAGAAGAAGCAGTCCTAGTGGTAGCAGTAGCAGTAGCAGTAGCAGCAGGACTAGCATCAACAGACCAGCAGCAGCAGTCGTAGTGGTAGCCGTACCAGTAGCAGTAGGAGTAGGAGGAGGAGTTGTGGGAGTAGTAGTAGTAGTAGTAGTAGTAGTAGTAGTAGTGGTAGTAGTAGTAGTACTAGTAGTAGGAGCAGTAGCAGTACTAGTGGTAGTGGTAGTGGTAGTGGTAGTGTTGGCGGTAGTGGTAGTGGTAGTGGTAGTGGTAGCGGTTGTGGTACTGGTTGTGGTAGTGGTGGTAGTAGTAGCAGTAGTAGCAGTAGCAGTAGCAGTAGCAGTAGCAGTAGTAGTAGTAGTAGTAGTAGTAGTAGTAGTAGTAAGTAGTAGTGGTACAGGTCGCAGTCGCAGTCGCAGTAGCAGTAGTAGGAGTAGGAGTAGTCGTCGTCGTGCAGCGACGGCGACTGCGGCTGCTTAGGCACAATGGCTGTCGGTGGCCTCCAGGAAGAACTGCTCTAGTCCTGGATAATCGGTTGCGCCGACCTCCAGCAGGCTTCATCGAAAATGCATCCGCAACATGTAAATGACAATGCTGTGTGCGCGTGTATCTTCATACATATGTATGTGCACACATGTGTACAGATACATATATATATATATATAGGTATATATATACACACATCCAAGTGTTGGCTGCAATTAATCACACGGATGTATGAAGACATACATACATACATACATACATACATACATACATACATACAGACATACATACAGACACTTAAAGACACTTACAGACAGCCGGACAGACAGACAGACAGAAAGACATAACATATAGACAGACAGACAGACAGACAGACAGACAGCCAGGCAGATAGGAGGCAGGCACGCATGCAGTAGGACACATGATGATAATATGTTTGTTAAGCTTCGGATTTAGACAAGATCACATTCAGCGCTTTCGGGCTTCGATTGGAGTTTCAATCTGAGCATGCTTATGCGTCATCTCGCCAACGCTAGATCTAAACCCAACCAGCATTCACTAGACCAAAACCTCCGACCGACAAAAATGAGCGTCTGCTTCTGATGCAAATACGTGGTAGTGACAGCGGCATCGGAAACCGGCACTGATTTCGGTAACTCCAAACTTCACATCAGCAACCGACAATCCAAAGCTCGAGCCCAAAGCCGTAAAAATACAGGAAACTACCAGAAAGCCCTCTACAGCACAGTTGAATATCTAACATTTCGACCCCAAACCCATCAAAACTGCTACGAGCGGTGCTGCGACTCAAGGTTCTTTCCCTGCTTAAGAAGTTCTATGCCGAGCTATGTGAGATATATAATATATACATATATATATATAGATATGTACATATGTATATATATATATACATACCGATATCGATATCCTGTCATGTTCCACCCCCCACTCTGTACCGCTAAACCCTAACGCCCTGAACCCCGAACCCCTAAACCCTTACGCCCTGAACCCCGAACCCCTAAACCCTAAAGCCCTGAAGCCCTAAACCCAAAACCCCCAAACCCTAAAGCCCTACCCTAAACCCTAAACCCAAAACCCCCAAACCCTAAAGCCTAAACCCCAAAAACCCCCAAACCCTAAAGCCCTAAACCCCAAAACCCCCAAACCCTAAACCCCCAAAACCCAAAACCCCCAAACCTTAAACCCCCAAAACCCAAAACCCCCAAACCCTAAAGCCCTACATTCTCCCCGGCCGACCTCCGCATCAGGAAAGGTACCCTCACAGACGGAGCCGAAGCCGACGATGAGGACCAAGGACTCCGGTTTAGGGTTTTGGGGTTTGGGGGGTTTAGGGTTTTGGGGGTTTGGGGGTTTTGGGTTTGGGGTTTAGGGTTTAGGGGTTTTGGGTTTAGGGTTTAGGGTTTAGGGGTTTAGGGTTTAGGGTTTTGGGGTCTTCGGGGTTTTGGGTTTTGGGTTTAGGGTTTAGGGGTTTAGGGGTTTAGTGGTTTAGGGTTTTGGGGTCTTGGGGGTTTTGGGTTTAGGGTATTGGGGTCGAGGGTTCAGGGACTGGAACTAGCAGAGCAGTGGGTTTGGGGGTTTCGAGTTGAGAGGTTTGGGGGTTTAGGGTTTTAGGGTCGATAATCCTATATAAGGGCTTCATGGGGTGATGTAGCATGCTTTGATTATGTCTTAGCCTTTTGTTAATGGCGTGCCTTAATGGTCGGTTTTTGGCGGGAGTTTTATGCGGTGTGTAGTAGGAGGTCTCTGGATGCCAAGGACAGGGTTGAGGGGTTAGGGGTTGAAATTTAGGGTTATGGATTACTTAGGGGCTCCCGGTTTAGTGTGTAAGAGGTGTAGGATTTATGGTGTTTGTGGTTCAGAGGCGTCCACTGGCT